TGTCATCCCCCCACACCTGCTCCTCCTTACTACATCTCCCCGCGTCCCTGTGCCAATCGTGGATGTGGATGGGCAGGAAATGTGAGGCGGGGAGGAGGTGCGGCATGTGGAGCGTGGATGCGAGCGGGTCTGGCAGCAGCGAGCGTGAGGTGGGGAGGAGGTGCAGCGCACAGCGTGTGGAGCCGTGAACAGGGCCAACTGATCGGAAGCCGATTAATCGATTATTGAAAAAGTTGACAACTTTTTCAATAATCGATTATAATAGATTATGTCGATTAGTTGTTGCAGCCCTAGACAACACACAAAATAATGTTATTATTTCAGTCTGTTAGCTGTTAAAGTGGCCACACATTTATTCCAACTAGATTATGTGTCCTCAACTGACTGAACACTTGACCCCTTTGCCCCACTGTCTTACCTAGGAATGGGCTATATTAGGTGATAGTTCTCAGTAGGGATGCACCGATACAGATGCATGCTCGTATTCGCCCAAATGCTCCGATGCCTAGCCCGATACCCGAACTTCCGGTATCAGTAAGCCGGGCAGCGAGTCATTATACGCTGCACTGCTTTCTGATTGGCCGGGAAGCCAGCTCCATGCTCCCTCATCAGTCGGTGACGAGGAAGCATGGAGCAGACTTCCCAGCCCAATCAGGAAGCAGTGTAATTACTCACTGCCTGGCTTCCTGATTGGTCGAGAAGCCCCCCGGGTTCCTGATGGCCAGAAAGCCAGCTCCATGGTTCCACCTTGTGACCCGGAAGCATGGAGATGGCTTCCCTGTTAATCAGATAGCCAGATGGTGTGTTATTACACACTGCTGGCTTCGTTAATGGGACTTCCGGTATCGGCGAGTAACGCCGGGGTGGGGCGGAGGGTTGGGGGAAATCAGTACTTGTACTCTATACCGAAAAACTGGTATCTGTACATCCCTAGGTAGGGCTGCAACAACTAATCGACATAATCGATTATTGAAAAAGTTGTCAACTTAATCGGCTTCCGATTGGTTGGCCCTGTTTACAGCTCCACACACGCTGCGCGCCGCACCTCCTCCCCACCTCAAGTTTGCTGCTGCCAGACCTGCCCACATCCACGCTCCACACGCCGCATCTCCTCCCCGGCTCACGTTCACCGCCCGCCCACATCCACGATCGGCACAGGGACATGGGGAGAAGTAGTAAGAAGGAGCAGGTGTGGGGGGATGACAGCCGCCGATAGACAGGTCCGATCTCAGAAGCAAGTTGCCGGAAGACTGCTCAGGTAAGCCTGAACTTTCCCACACATGGTGCTCTATAATGTATTGCTTGGATATTGTATTCCTCTATAGCTGATGGTACATTGTGCATAGGAATACAAATCCCAGCATTACATTATACACTGTATGTATAATGTACTATTGCTGGGATTTGTTGCACTCCTCTATAGCTGGTGGTATTCTGCATTGCGCTGTATAGAAGACTACAAATCCCAGCAATAATACATTATACAGCGCAATGCAGATTACCACCAGCTATAGGAGTACAACAAATCCCAGGAATACATTATACAGTGGTGCAATGCTGAATACCACTAGCTGGTATTCTGCATTGTGCTGTATAATGTACTATTGCTGGGTTTTGTAGTCCTCTATAGCCGGTGCCATTCTGCATTCATTGCTGTATAATTTTACACTTTTCATTTCACTATATTGCACACCACAATTTTGTTTTCTTTTTTACTTCCACCGCTCCAAGCCTGCTCCTGTGATGAACTACACTCAATACAAACTAGTAGTCCATCACAGGAGCCATTTATTTGTTTCTATTTTTTATCCGATTAATCGAACTTAATAAATCGGCTAACTAATCGTTAGCTGCAGCTCTATCCCTAGGTGTTCAGAATTCCATTAGACACTTGCCAAGAAGAAATTACATGTCTGTAGTTTTCATGCAGGGTGACCGTACATGAATTATGTATTGTAACATGTTAGCATCATCTCTATGAAAGCAGTTTTGTTAGGAACAGAGGCAGGCTTCAAGACTGTCTGCATTTTTAAAACCTGTATTGCTTTGTCCGGTGTGTTGTCATGCGTTGCCATTCCCATCCAAAGCTCTGTTGGTGTGTTCATGGATAAAAATGGACACAAACATTTTAAGTCAACACACCACACCGTTGTCAAACCTCTGTAGGAGGTGTAAACTTGCTCAGTGCGAACAGGTGCTTAACTTGGGACTCGCATACACCATAACGCAGTGCACTGTCAACACAGTAAAAAACAGCTAGCATGATTTCATTTTTAATGGGCCGTCAGTGCATGAAAAAAGCAGAGCCTGATGCCATCGTTGTAGCGCACTGTAGTTGTGCCTTGGGGTGCAGTTAACGTTAAATGACAATGCACAACTACAGTACACCGTGGCAAGGCAAAATAGCATGCACGGGCCCTGAACCTGTACTTTGCCCAGGCAGGATAAAGCAACAGGCTCACTTTATTGCCAGCCCTTGCAGAAGATTATACTTTCTTGGCTCTCCAATTCAGCCACCATGAGGGTGGAGTACTTCCGGGTACAAAAGGAACATGTGACTCACTTCCCTTCCTTCCACACGACAGTGCTGGTGCATGATATTTGGCCTCAGCGCTGTCACATAGGGCAGAGGAAGAAGAAAGTCTTCAGCTCAGTGTAACTGGCAACGTTTTGCTCCTGCGAGGACACATGGCATTGGAAAAGTGACGGCACAGCTATTTTTTTGCCTGGCACAGACAATTCACAAGTTCATTCAAACCTATGACCAAACGCACATATGCAAACTTAATTAGTCAGTGATGACATCTGTACAGGGATAGTACAGGCTATAGACAACAGAACATGCTGGGACGTGCAATTCAAGAGCAGCTGCCATACATCACCGTCCTATGACTTATTAGGCACAGGCGCTGCACTCAGTTTGGATAAAGTATGTGTACGTGGGTGTGGTGTACCTTGATTAGGCGATAATATCCCCAGATTTGTAGTATTCAAACAGAATACAATGACAGGACCTAACAGGAAGCAGCACCACTGCCAGCTGTAGATGGGATATCCATGCTTATTACCTGGACAGACAACATAATGATCCCTCAAAAGCATACAATGACCAGAGAGCAGAGCCACTGCTAACTGTAGATCTAGCAGGGTTAAGCCTTGGCTAGCTGACGGCATATGCTGTGGCTTTGAGTTCACCAGCAGCAGGGTACAATGAAAGCACTTACCCGGAAGCAAGATTGCGACCAGTTGTAGATGGAAGATGAACACAGGTGTACTAGGCCTTGCCTAAGTGGCAGGAATGATGGGACTTGTAGTCCTAGCAGTATACAATTACAGGACTTGATAAAAAAACAGAGCTGCGGCCAGTTGTGGATGAAACACCTGCAAATATAGTAGTAGACTTGGCTAGGTGACAGGAATGCTGGGACTTTTAGTTCTCCCAGGAGTATAAACAACAGAACTTAAAGGAATCAGAGCAGTGGCCAGTAGGGGACGAAGTACATATAGGAGTATCTAACCATTGGCTTGGTAATAGGAATGCACTGAAATTTCAGCTGCCAAAAACATTTCGGCCAATAATAGCACTTTTGACAAATTGCCAAAAGTACCAGGGCAGCCAAAAATGCAAACAAAAATTCTGTGCATCTATCTTCTCTCCACCCCGTTGGGTGCCGGTCTATGTACCTTCTGATGCAGCGGCCGCTGCCCAGCGGGGGAGGAGATAAGTTTTCAAAAGGCTCAGCGGGAGGGATGCCAAGCGGTGCGGTGACAGCTGTCATCGTTACAGGAGGCAGAGCTCTCCTCCTGCACTTCCCGGCTCCGCCTCCTGTGTCAGGATGGAGAGCACTGTGATCTGTCACAGGAGGCCGAGCTCTCCTCCTGCATTTCCCGGGTCCTCCTCCTGTGTCACGACGGAGATGCTGTGATCTGTCACAGTAGGCTGAGATCTCCGCCTGCACTTCCTGGCTGTCTCCTGTGTTAGGATGGAGAGCGCTGTGATCTGTCACAGTAGGCAGAGCTCTCCTCCTGCACTTCCCGGCTCCGCCTCCTGTGTCAGGATGGAGAGCACTGTGATCTGTTACAGTAGGCAGAGCTCTCCTCCTGCACTACCCGGCTCTGTCTCCTGTGTTAGGATGGAGAGCACTGTGATCTGTTACAGTAGGCAGAGCTCTCCTCCCACCACCACCCGCTCCACCTCCTGTGACAGCCAATTGGAGAGCGGGTATACAAACACTCACCGATCATCTGACCCTTGAGTGTTTGTAAATAACTGCACATAGTGTGCTTACTATGTCCCAGTTATGAATGAATGGGAAGTGATCTACAGCACATACCAGGAAGCAAAGCTAGGATCAGTTGCCCTGGTTAGGACAGAGCAATGATGGGACCTATAGTCCCCCCAGTGTTAGCACTTACTAGGAAGCATTGCTTTGGGGGAGTAGGCCCTGGTTAGGACAGAGCAATGCTGGGACCTGTAGTCCCCCCAGTGTTAGCACTTACTAGGAAGCATTGCTTTGGGGGAGTAGGCCCTGGTTAGGACAGAGCAATGCTGGGACCTGTCCCCCAGTGTCAGCACTTACTAGGAAGCAATCCTTTGGGGGAGTTGGCCCTGGTAAGGACAGAGCAATGCTGGGACTTGTAGTCCTCCCAGTGTCAGCACATACCAGGAAGCAATGCTTTGGGGGAGTAGGCCCTGGTGAGGACAGAGCAATGCTGGGACCTGTAGTCCCCCCAGTGTTAGCACTTACTAGGAAGCATTGCTTTGGGGGAGTAGGCGCTGGTTAGGACAGAGCAATGCTGGGACCTGTAGTCCCCCCAGTGTTAGCACTTACAAGGAAGCAATGCTTTGGGGGGAGTAGGCCCTGTAAGGACAGAGCAATGTTGGGACCTGTAGTCCCCCCAGTGTTAGCATTTACTAGGAAGCATTGCTTTGGGGGAGTAGGCCCTGGTTAGGGCAGAGCAATGCTGGGACCTGTAGTCCCCCCAGTGTCAGCACTTACCAGGAAGCAGAGCTGCGGCCAGTTGTGGATGAAGTAGCGGTAGGTGTAGATGGAGTAGGGCTCAGACAGGTCCCGGGTGATCAGTCTCATGATATCGGGCATTTGGAGTTCGGACTCGTAGCGCACATAGCGGATGTCGTGCACGGTGCAGGCGGCCAGCAGGGCGGGCAGGGCCTCCTCGGCCAGCCCGTTGGGGGCGGCAGTCCGTTCCT